GACTGGGTTGTAGTGAGACGCTTTGGGCTGGGCTTGTGGGTCTCTAAGTTAGTCGACCCCGCCTCAAAGCCACGATCCAATGGTTAAGCTAAGCAGGCGCTCTCGCGTCTGGGGTAAGTAGGACAGCCTGGCTGGCCCCTGCAGTCTCTTCCCGCTAGGCAGCATCTCCCCATCGACCTGGTCTCCAGAGACCTCTCATCCCGCTGCTCCGTGGTCTGGGTTTCATTTAACACCTCCACCAGGTCTGCGCAGTTCTCACCCATTGTTTAGCCACCGCCCTCCATGATAGAAGCCCTCGCGTAAGAACCAATACCAACTGCCATATACCAGGGAAACAGACAACACCTGTGAAAGTTACTCTGAGTTAAACAATAAGAAGAGTGAAAAGGGAAGCCCACATCCTGATCACATCTTCCTGGAAGCAATCAGAAAGCATAAAAAAGAAAATAACGTAATAAAGATTTAGGGTCTAGAATCAGAGATCTGGGTTTGGAACAAGATTTCACAAGAATCAAGAACCTAAGTTTAAAAGTAAAATCCTAAACTTTTAAAAGAAAGTGTAGTAAGAGGGAACAAGTCCTTACAGCAAGAATCATTCCCATCCCCTCCACACACAGAGTAGACAGGGATGGGCAACTTGGACATTGGCCACCCAAAATGGGGGATGGGGGGCTACAAAGGCAAGAAGTGACTGGCTTACAAGAGGGAACCTAGATCCAGAGGGCCTAGAGGAAGGTCGAATCTCCAGTGAGTAGTATTCAATCTGACTAGGCAGGGCTGATACAATGAAATGCAGACAGGTCTCTTGTGATACAATAGTGAATAATTGTTATCAGGACTGTTTGTGAGGGTTGGAAATGTAAAGGTAGATGTTTTATAGCAAGGAGGGGAGTGATTAACTTGGCAGTCTATGAACGAAGGTCCCTGGGACCATCAAGGGAGAAGAATGGAGAGCAGGACCCTACCCAGAGAAGCAGTGATGCCAGAGATGGAGGCAGAGATGATGACATGAAGAGATGGAGCAGCTGGGGACTTTAGACCCAGAGAGGGAGAGAGGCTTGCAGGGTATACCCTTTGGTTGGTTGATGATGCATGGGGGATTGTAACCATGGCAATGAACAATATACGACAATAGGCTGAATGTAAAGCTAATTCTCTCCCATGTAAACTGTCACGTAATTCACAATAAAACATTAAAAAAAAAAAGCAGATTACTAAGCCTGTCTTTCAAGGCACATCTGGGTGAGTCTGAGCCACCAACATTCCAGCTAGAATTTGAGCACTTAAGTCATTTGTGCCACCCTGGGACTCCTGAGAACTGGAGACACCAAAATTCTTCCAGCAAGGAAAGATACAAGAACATAAAGTAATCAACTGAAAATGTCTGCTAGAAAGTTTTAATTTGCCCTGAAATACAGGAAACAAGATGCAGTGTACACTCTATCACATCAAATAAAAATATATAATTTCTGAATTACATAATATTGGCACTCTACACAAAGTTTATAGATTAAAAAAAAACAGTAAGAGAGTTGGAGATATTTTATATAGGGCATTTTTACTGGAGGGTATGACTAGTGTAGTTGCTCTATTTTATGCCAAATTACCTATGATATCTATGAAAATAGTTTTAAGAATCTTTTTGTTCAGGTGCAGTTGAAAACTTTACAAAAATCTCTATTGATGAGGAATTAAAAACTCATCTGTAAATGCCTCTTAAGGAAGTAGAAAATTATGTATTATGCTATTCTCATACTCAAACTGGATACTGCCCTAACACAAATTATTCATATCCAAACTTGCATAGAATTTCACAGAATTGTTAGTTTGTATTTGAAAAATAACAGGAACTGACACAAATGCATTTAATCCTACTGTCCTCATTTTCAACTCCTGATGATTTTAAAACTTTATCTAATGAATGTTTACTCACAGTTGATATTCTTCTGGTCTACTTCTCATAAGCCAGGAGTCCTAGTGGTGCAGTGGTGAAGCACTAGACTGCTAACTAAAAGATCGGTGGTTCAAACCCAGCAAAGTGTGGCAGAAAGATGTGGTAGTCTGCTTCTGTAAAGATTTATAGTCTTAGAAATCCTAAAGTCAGTTCTATTCTATCTTACAGGGTCACTATGAGTTGGAATCAATTAGACAGTAAAGGTTTTTTTTTTCCTTATTTTTCCTATAAACACTTGGTTGATTTTACTTGTGAAATATGGCTTTTAGTATAACAATTTCAAAGAGAATATATTTTTTTCCACATTCATTACACTGATAGATTTTGCCTTGGCATGATTCCCTGATACATAGTACAATTAGAATCCAAAATACAAATTTATAAAATGTGATTATTATATAAAATTATCTAGTATGCAATGAATATAATGGATTTGCTAAAGGTTTTTCTTGTTCCACTGTTAGGGGTTCTCCTCTGTAAAAATTCAAATTACAGTGAATGTAATGCCTAAATGCTTTTCCCCATTCAAGAGATATATAGCGGTTTCTTGCTTGCATAAATCCTCAGATGAAAAATGACATTTAACTTCATTGGATTTCCCATATTCATGCTATTCAGAGGACTTTCTGACATGAGATTGGAGCTCAGAGGAGATTTTTGACATCAAGTACATTCCTATTCCCTCTTCTATGAATTCTCTGATGGCTATTGAAGGCTGACCTGTGGTGGAATTTTTTCCCACATTCACTACATTCATAGGGTTTCTCTCCTGAATGAGTTCTATAATGTACAGTGAGGTAAGATTTCTGAGAAAAGACTTTCCCACATTCATTGCATTCATAGGGTTTCTCTCCTGAATGGCTTCTATAGTGTACAGTAAGGTTTGACATTCGAGAAAAGACTTTTCCACACTTACTGCATTCATAAGGTTTCTCTCCTGAATGAATTCGATGATGTATAGTAAGATACGACTTCTGAGAGAAGAATTTTCCACATTCGTAACACTCATAAGGTTTCTCTCCTGTGTGTACTCTCTGATGTCTAAAGAGGGATGAATTATGGGAGAAGGTTTTTCCACATTCGTTGCAACCATAGGGTTTTTCCTCTGAATGACTTCTATAATGTTCAGTGTAGTATGACAAATCAGAGAATAATTTTCCACATATATTACATGCATAGGATTTCTCCCCTTTTGGAAGTAACTGATGTCCATTAAAGGCTGAATTTTCAAGGAAGGTTTTCCCACATTTATTACATTCATAGGGCTTTTCTCCTAAATTAGTTGTATGGTTAGTGAGATTTGAGAAATGAGTCAATTTTCCACATTCATTACATTCATGGAGTTTTTCTTCTGTGTGTACTTTCCGATGTCTAATAAAGGCTGAATTTAAATTGAAGGTTTTACCACATTCATTACATTCATAGGGTTTTTCTTCTAAATGACTTCTGTAATGTATAGTTAAGTACGACACCCGAGAAAAGAATTTTCCACATTCACTACACTGATAGGGTTTCTCTCCTGTGTGTGTTCTCTGATGTGTAATAAGGGTGGATTTTCGGTAGTAGGATTTTCCACATTCATTACATTTATAAAGTTTCTCACCTGTGTGTGTTCTCTGATGATCGCTGAGTGCTGACTTCCGGGAGAAGGATTTCCCACATTCATTACATGGATAGGGTCTTTCTCCTGAATGATTTCTCTGGTGTAGAGTTAGGTGTGTCTTTTGGCAAAAGGTTTTCCCACATTCACTACATTCATAGGGTTTCTCTCCTGAATGAGTTCTCTGATGTTGAGTGAGGTGTAACTTTTGACAAAAAGTTTTCCCACACTCATTACATTTATAGGGCTTCTCCTCTAAGTGTGATCGCCGATGTACAGTGAGAGTTCCTTTTTGGCTGAAGGATTTCCCACACACATTACATGCATAAGGTTTCTCTCCTGTGTGAGCTCTCTGATGTATTATGAATTTTGACTTTTTACAAAAGGATTTTCCACATTCATTACATTCATAGGGCTTCATTTCCATTTGTGATCTCTGACAGACATTGAAATTTGACATCTGGATGAAGTCTGACCCAGAATCACTCCAATCATAGGGCTTCTCTTCCATGTAAGTGCTTTTATGAGTAATGAAAACTGCTTCATTTTTTAAGGTGCCCATGCAGACATTATACTCAAAAGGTTTCTCCAAAATACTAATTTTCTGAAGAATGTTTTCTTCATTTTGAGAATAGGCGCCCCCTTTTTTATTACATTCATAGGGTTTGTCTCCATGCTGTGCTTTCTCACAATCACTACACTCATCAGACTTTTTTCTTGCATAGCTTCCATCACTAATAATTAATTCTGAAAAAGTTTGTAAAGTCTTTCCACAAGAAACACAATTATGAGATACTATGTTTGAAGGAACCAGATTTGTTTCCACATTAAAACTCTGATCGAGTATATTTTCTCTTTCTTCAGTCAAGCATCTGTTGCTGATGGAAACTGTTTGCTTTGAAAGTTTGTCTTGATTTCCTTGGATTCTTTCTATCAGGTCATCAACTTTCCAGCCTTCTTCTAAAAAAAAGGAATAAAATTAAACACATTTTGAATACACAAAGTACAGAATGGGAGTAGTACTCACATGCCCTGTTTATAGAGCTAACTCTGGCATTAGGGCCAATCTCTAAAAGTAAAAATAGATACAAGTACATATTACTCTTTTCTCCTTGATGTATAATACAAAACACACACACACAAAGGTGGGGGTAAGGAATGAGGGTGGGCTAGGACTCAGCAGTAGTGGAAAGGGAGAGTGAATTCACAATGAAGACAAGAACTTTTGTGACTTTACAAACACTTTATTCAAAACTTTGGAAGAAAAGGTCAAATAGATACATGTCAAAAGGTAAAATAAAGCCAACGTCATGGAAAGTGTGCTAAATTCAGGCAGAAATGACAAGAGTGATAGAAAGCGGTCAGTGAGAAAATAAGAATAATTACTAGATGGGTGTTCAAAGGAAATATTCAAGTATTAAGTCTGGGAGAATTAGATTACAATTTATATTAACTTGCAAGATACCACTGCATACCAAGATTACAATCGCAACATTATCACTAATTTAGATCCTTCCAAAACTTTTGCCAAATAAACATTCTGAAGTTCCAATTTTGCCATGTAACCAGGACACCAAGTGCCTATCACTGATTCACATTTATCTGGAAGGAGAAATCTGGATATATGAAAGTCCAAAGCAAATGTAAGAGAGAACAGAGGGCAAGGTATCCAGCTATATTGTGTTTTGTTGTTAAGTGCTATTGAGTTGATTTTGACTCACAGCGACCCTGTATAGAGTTTCCAAGGAGTGGCTGGAGAGTTAGAACTGCCAGTCTTGCAGTTCAAACCAACCTTGCAGTCGAGTGCCTATCCTACAGTGCTACACCAGGACTTCAAACTGTTGGGACAGGCTTATCATTTAATATTACCTGAATTGATTTCCACCATGATATACTTTTTCTACCTGCACGATATAGCATGGTGGTTAAAAGCATAAATGCTGCAGCAAGGCAACCTCAATTTAATCCTAATTCCAACATGTTACTGCCTGGAGGACTTTAGGCAAGTTATTTAACTGTGATGCAATTTCACACATCTCATATGGGGATAATAGTACCTAACTAGCACTGTGAAAGAGTTAAATTATTTAATACGTGCAAACTGCTTAGAGCGGTTTTTGACATAAACCAAAGTCTCATTAAGTATAGCCACTAATTTTCTTTCAATTAGCTGACTTAAGTATCAGAAGTCTAGTCATTTCCCTAGTCTTGTACAAAAAGAAAGAAAGAAAGAAAGCAGAGGTCTTTTAGGTATACTTTGAAGAAAGCAAGAGAATGAACCAAAATTCATATATAAAATAAGCACGGACTGAACATCAACTGTGTACGGGGCATCATCCCACCTCTCTGTCCTCAGACCATAAATGAGCACTTAGGGAGAGAGAAGACCCAGTTAGTACCGTACCATACAATCAATTAGGGATGCATTTCAGAAATAACGATTAGCACTCTCAATGACGTGTAAGGGCACCCCACAACAAGGCTATGACTGAGTACATGAGTGGAGGTAGTGGATGACCTTTTAGTATCTGACTGTACAGACAGAAGAGTGAACTTGGGGAAGAGGGGAACAAGTCTGTGGGGTTTCACAATAAGGAAGAAAAGAAGATGGAATGACTATGAAAATCTCAAGCTAATTTTTATGGTAGGCTGTGAGAACAGGGGTAGGTAAGATACCAAGAATGGTAGAGAAGGAGTAAGAGATTGATTTCTCACTACTGTTAACCACAGAAAACCCTGATAAGTTCATGTCAAATGTACATGAAAAGAAAAAAAGAAGTTTGTGTATGGGTGTTGGAGGAAAGTGACTATTTGGGTTTTTGAAAGTGTGATTTAGGGTATCTAAGGCATACCTAACTTAACTGTCTTTATTCATTCCTGAAGGTCCGAGATGATAATTTTTTAAAAACCTGATATTCTGATAACTTACCTGGAGAACTCTGCCATGGGAAGTCACCTTCTACTACCCATGGCTCATCTCCCTGCTCCAACTTTATGATGACATCTGGTTTGGTAATATCAAAGCCTGTTAATGAGAAATAAAGGACTTGAACCAGCTATGTGCCTTCAAGAGCTCTAAAGTGCATGAAGATGCTTTCTCATAGCTTACAGTACAAAAGAACCCACATTAAAACACATTTGCAACAAAAAGTACCAAAAATTAAAACCTTTCAACAGGAAAGCAAAACACAAACACTGTACCTACTGCTCCAAACTGAAGAGCAGGTCTTATCATCTATTTCTTTAAATTCAAGGAAAAAGCATTCAACTGGAAGTGCTCACATAGCATTGATTCAAAAAGAAAGCTGCCCTCACCCAGTGAGATCAGGTGGCTGTAGGTCTCTAGCATTACATCCCGGTACATTATCTTCTCATCACAGTCCAGCTGCTGCCACTCCTCCTGGGTAAAATTCACAGCCACATCCTTGAATAACACCAACTCCTGTAACAGAACCGTGACTGGAAGTGAGTGACATGGAAAATGCAGACACTGATGAGAGCTTACCATGCTCACTGGTAATATTAACAACTACCACTCTATACCTTATTCTATGTTACAAATTAAGGGAGGAAAATACACCCTATTGGAAAAAACAGTGCCTTTGTTCTTGTTGTTAAGTGCTATCAAGTCAGTTCCAACTCATAGTGACCCTGTATAGGGTTTCTAAGGACTAGCTGGTAGGTTTGAACCATTGATCTTGGGGTTAGCAGTCCAGTGTTTTTATTCTACAGCCCCACACCAAGACTAGGAGGAAAACACCCTATTGGAAAAACATTGCCTTTATGGTCCTTAAATGATGTGTGCCAAAAAAACAGCCCCTACCTCCAAAAAATTTTTAAAAATGACCTCAAATTGTCTCAAATAAATTATGTCAGCTTTCACTCTAAGAAACTAGAAAAGGAAGAGAAAGTGAAACCCCAAATACGTTGCTGTTGCTGCTGGGTGCTACTGAGTCAAGTCCAACTCATAGTGACTGTGTATAGGGGTTCTGAGGCCGTAAATCTTTATGAGAGCAGAAAGCCTCATCTTTCTCCTGAGGAGCTGCTGGTGGGGTCAAATTGCTGACCTTTCAGTTCTCAGCACAACACAAAACCCACTGTGCTACCAGGGCTCATTAACATTAACAGGAGAAAAGAAATAGTAAAGATCAAAGTTGCTGTTGTTAAGTGCCGATGACAATGAGTCGGTTACAACCCTCTAAAGGTTTTCCAAGGAGCAGCTGATGAGCGTGAACCGCCGACCTTGTGGTTCAAACCAACTTTGTAATCCAGCGCATTAGCCCACAGCGCCACACCAGGATCAAAGGAGCAATCATTTAAACAGAAAACAAAAGCAATTGCTAAATCAAGTCAAAAACCTATTCTTTTTTTTTTTTTTTGGTAAACTTATCTTTTATTTCTGTCTTACCTTCCAACGAAAAAGCCCTTATTCCACCAAAACATTTTAATTCAGTAACCAAACATAACTCAATAGCCTCACAATTCATTTTCTAAACATATGCTAATTTCTTTAAATTGCTTTTTATAAAAAAAAAAAAAGAACTAAGAACTATTTTTAATATTAAATTTTAAAGCAGCACTATCCTCTCACATTTTTTCATAAAAATCTAAAATATATCTAGTAGTTCCAAGTATCTTGAATTTATATTTATTCTAAGTGTTTGTTTCACTCAAATGTTTCAGAAATAAGTGCACTTCTAAAGAGAAAACAAAAATAAAGACAAGGGAAGATAATCATGTTTGTAGCAAAACAGACACTTAGAACGTTCTGAATCCTAACAAATTCAAAGACAGAATGTGTTTAAGTGGGTAGGATCTCTATGAAGTAATATCTCAAGTTATTTCTTTTTAGCTCACCAAAAGAGAGAGTTATTTCTTCATCAGTAGAGATTAATTCTTGGTCATCTAAAGGTTTCCCACAATAATCTACCAAAAATAAATGTACTTAAAATACTTAAAAATTTACAGATTTACAGAAAGATATACAGGTGTTAAGACAAAAACCTAGAAATAATATGCTATTACACAAATAAATGAAACTGTATCTGAAGTTTAACAATATTAAACAAAAGTTTAATATTCCACACTTGTTATTTTCATTCAACTAACAAGCTAAATAAGGAGCTCTGGTAGCGTAATGGTTACGAATCAAGCTGCTAACCTCAGGGTCAGAAGTTCGGAACTACCAGCTGTTCCACAGGAGAAAGATGAGACTTTCTGCTCCTGTAAAGATTTACAGCCTTGGAAACCCTGTGCAGGGCTGCTATGAGCCGGAACCGACTCCACGGCACATAACAACAACAACTAGCTAAATCAGTCACATATCCTATTCAAAAGAGGATGATTTATAAGCGATTCTATATTTTCAGGTCGAACTGTTTCAATAAATTTAAAGGAGATATAAAGCTTTAACCAATGCATATATAGAAAAATAACGATTTGTTTTAATATAAATATTTTTATTTTAAAAGTCAGTCTATATTAAATTAGGAAATCCGTAAATCTGAGTTATACAAACTTTTTATGTACTTAGAAAAACCAAAAGTGCAGTTTATAACAAAACTTGTTTAATTTACAGTCCAACTGAAAGAAAATGCAAAAAGAATATGCCTAGTAGATTAGATAGGGTTTTATCATTAAAATTAGTTCACCTGATATGTGGGAAATGTATAATACAGAAAGCTCAATCTCTATAGTACTTTGCAAATTATCTAGTTAATTTCCATCATTAATCAAATTCTTAGCTTCCAAAGGGCAGACACAATCTTTAATTGCTTTTAAACCCCAAACCAAACCCAATGCTACTGAGTTAATTCTGACTCATTTGTTGTTAGGTGCCATCGAGTCAGTATCAACTCACAGTTACCTATGAACAAAAGAACGCAACACTGCCCAGTCCTGCGCCAACCTCACAATCGTTACTACATTTGAGCCCACTGCTGCTGCCAGTGTTGCCAATCTATCTCTTTTTCTATGACCCTCCACTTTACCAAGAATGATGTTCTTC